TATAGTGCTGGCAAACGATTAATCGCGATTAATCGCACCCAAAATAAAAGTTTTTGTTTACATAATATATGTGTGTGTACTGTGTATATTTATTATGTATATATAAATACAAACACATGCATGTATATATTTAAGAAAAATATAATTTACCATTTGACGGAATTGTTCAAAAATGCCTCTGCAAATCAGTGGGAAATTTGTGAAAGACAGAGAAAATATTCCTGAGGGTACTTGGTAGGCTAAGATTAGCCAACGCTGCCACTGTAGTAATTAGTAAACATGATATGTTAATTTATGAGTGCAATTCTCAAGGCCTGGAAAGAATCTAATCATGTGGAGTGGAATGCCCTCTGGTGGGTGCGTCATCCATTGCAGAAAAGCTCCGCTATTTAAAACACGTTCTTTGGTATATTTTATTTGTATTGAGCTAATTTCAAAACGAAAACGTATTCTAGAACCGGGTCCGCTTATTCTACAATATTCGAGAAAACGTTCCTTTTCTTTCTATATTTAAATTAAGTGCACTGTCAAAAATACACCAAGCCGTTCTTTCATGAACATCTCTAGTCTAGTGCGTGATGTCTTGGATCCCGCCCACGTTTTTCATTGGCTCCGTCATGCCACTTCGGCGTTCGTGATTGGTCCACTCCGCGCAGCGTCTGCGTCAACCTGCCACAGCGGAAGTGAAAGCTTCAGAAGAATAGTGGCTAGATAAATAAGCATGTTCGGTATTTTAGTATTGCACATTGTAGATATTTCCTACTAACAAAATGAATGTTTTTATCTGCGTCGTGTTGTTTCTCGTAAGTGCCGCAGCTGCTAACAAAAGCGGGGACGATGACTGGGTGCATCTGCCAAATAAATGTGAAGGTAGACTGCCCTAATTTATAATGAGTCAATATTTTGCTTTAAATACACCATAATCGCTTGTGCATTTCCACACTTATTTTCAGCGCTTGATCAAATCATTTAATGCAATATTTCACACGATATAATAGGTCTGAGATATATGTTATCATACTCAGTGCAGATGTCCATGTGTATCAATAGCAATCTACTTTTTTGTTTCATAACAGTTGTAAGACCTTTTTTCATTTTATTTAATTATTTCTCGTTTTATTCATTAAATCTAATAATTATTCATTAAAAATATTGCATTTACATACTGGGAAAAAAACAAGAGCAGCAGATTTCCTCTTTTCAACGGACCTCACTGGATGTGACTCAAAACCTAGTGTGATGCCTACCTAGGCTGCATGTTTGGAACGTTGAATGAGTCTGTAATGACAAACAATGCTGTCTATGTAGGCAGCACACTAGGATTTGAGGCACAGCTGCTTTCTGTTCCTCTTCTGGCCCTGAATATGTTCTTTATGTTTCTATAGTGTGCAAATTTCTTAGTATTGAAATGAAGTCTGCATTTGAAGAGACTGGCAAAACAAAAGAAGTGATTGAAACCAACTACCGCTTCCTGGATGATAAAGGTGCACCGCCAATCAAATATGTCAAATCGTAAGTCACTTTTTTTTCTTAATGCAAACTTTGACCTTAAAAGTATCATTCATCCAAAAATGAAAATTCTGTAATCATTTACTTACCCTCAACTTTTTCCAAACCTGTATGACTTTCTTTCTCCTGGTGAACTCAAAAGAAGATATTTTGAAGAATGTTGTTAACCAAACAGTTGACGGTAGCCATTGACTTCCATGTTATTTTTTTTCCGTACTACGGAAATCAATGGCTACTGTCAACTGTTTGGTTAACAATATTCTTTCACTAATTCTAGTCTAGAAATGCAGGAGTACCATTAAGTAACCATGTCATACTGTTTTTGGATGCAGTGTGACTTGTGCATTTTATTAAGCAATGTCTTTTGCTTTTCAGTGATATTCGTTTCATAGAGGTGGTGGAGAATGTTTGCTCAAGGATTATGCAGTACAATCTACACAAAGAGAGAGATGGAAGTAATCGCTTTGCAAAGGTGGGCTACCACATTTCCTTTTCTTCTTGCAGCACTACTTCAGTGATTTTACTTTTTTTGGTTTATGAGTGAATAAGACTTGGAATTGCTTTTGTGAATGAATGCCCCAAGTTGCAATGGCAATTTTATATAATAAATGCAATGTGAAAAATAAGCTTTGAAATTCTAACTGATAATTAATCTAGTAGAAAATGCGTAGTAGTAGATGTGTAGTATGTACTGTATGCAATATTGAGTTTAAGTCTGAATTTTTTTTACTGTATGCTGTGATGTGTTATACTGCATTATAGCTGGTGAGATCTGATCATTTGTCTTGCTCTGCTCAGGGTATGTCTGAGACATTCTCTACCTTACAAAACCTGGTTAATAAAGGCGTGAAGGTGGTCATGGACATTCCTTATGAACTGTGGAATGAGACCAGTGCAGAAGTGGCAGATCTCAAAAAACAGGTATGGGAGTGACTGAAAAATCTTAGAAGTATGCCTGTTAGTGGGTTAAATTTGGCCACTAATGTGATTAATTTGAAATCTGCTGTAATGAAACTATATTTACACTACCTTTGAAAAGTTTGGGGTTAATACGTTTTTTTTTTTTAAAGGGTTAGTTCACCCAAAAATGAAAATTGGCTTGTGTTTTACTCGCCCTCGAAGCATCCTAGGTGTATATGACTTTCTTCTTTCAGATGAATCCAGTCGGAGTTATATTAAAAATGGTCCTGGCTATTCCAAGCGCTATCATTGCAGTCAGCGGGTGTTGCAGCTGAACAGTCCACAAGTCGTCAGATAAAGCTTGCGCATTCATAATAAAACGTGCCGCAGATGGCTCCGGGGGATGAATCCGCTGGAACTGCTTCAGTGTATGACAGTCAACGGAAGTGAGAGAAAAGTGTTTATTACATTTGAAGTATGGATATTTTTCTTATAAAAACACATGGATTCGCTACCTTTATTCATCTCCCGGAGCCGTCTGCGGCACGTTTTATTATGAATGCGCGAGCTTTGGGTGAACTAACCCTTTAAAGAAATGAATACTTCTATTCAGCAAGGATGCCATTACATTTTGCCACTAATGTGATTAATTAAAAATTTGCTGAAATGTAATTATATTTACACTACGGTTAAAATGTTTGGGGTCATTAAGTTACTTTTTTTTATATATATATATATATATATATATAAATTAATACTTTTATTCAGCATGGATGCTTTAAATTGATCAAAAGTTACAGTAAAGGCATATATAATATTACAAAATATTTCTATTTCAGATAAAAGCTGTTATTCCAATTCATCAAAGAATTCTGAAAAAAAATGCATCAGTTTTCACACAAATATTAATCAGCAGAAATATTTTCAACATTGATAATAATTCTTTATGTAATTTTTAATAATTCTTATTTTATCACTCTTATAATGTAATAATTCTTCTTTTTTTTAAGCTATAACTTTTATTAACATAGGTTAATGGGAGTGCAAATAAAAACAATGTATGTAAATGCATGTTTGTGCAGCATATGTACAGGTACATGGGAAGTGTGAGATTTGTGTTTTGTTCCCTCAGTGTGATGTGATGGTAGAGCAGTATGAAGAAGTCATTGAAGACTGGTATAAAGGCAGCCAGGAGGAAGATCTCACCATTTACCTATGTGAAAAACACGTGCTGAAAGGACAAGACACCGGTAATGTGAAACTAACAGCTGTTTTACTTCAGCACAACCTCTTTTATAACAGTTAAACCATAGCTATAAGAGCAGTTGTTTCTGGGAAGACTTTACAGGAAGCTACTCAAGGCCACAGCAGCAGTAATAGTAAATTACATAATTTAATGTGTAGAGCAAGTATTAATTCCTTGACAAATCTAAATTTTTCAAGGAATTAAAACTTTTTCTAAGCATATTTTTACTAAGCATATCTTTATCTCTCTCTCTATTATATTACTGGATGCTTGAAATTGAACAGGGAATACACATTTTAAACAGCTTATTTTACAGGTAAGTTAATCGCCATTCTAATCTAATGTGCTGCTGCACTGTAATACACATACAGTGGGGAAAAAAAGTATTTAGTCAGCCACCAATTGTGCACGTTCTCCCACTTAAAAAGATGAGAGAGGCCTGTAATTTTCATCATAGGTATACCTCAACTATGAGAGACAAAATGAGAAAGAAAAAAATCCAGAAAATCACATTGTAGGATTTTTAAAGAATTTATTTGCAAATTATGGTGGAAAATAAGTATGTGGTCAATAACAAAATTTCATCTCAATACTTTGTTATATACCCTTTGTTGGCAATGACAGAGGTCAAACGTTTTCTGTAAGTCTTCACAAGGTTTTCACACACTGTTGCTGGTATTTTGGCCCATTCCTCCATGCAGATCTCCTCTAGAGCAGTAATGTTTTGGGGCTGTCGCTGGCGAACCCGGATTTTCAACTCCCTCCAAAGATTTTCTATGAGGTTGAGATCTGGAGACTGGCTAGGCCTTGCACAATTGGTGGCTGACTAAATACTTTTTTGCCCCACTGTAGTACACATAGGACAGTAGTGCATACAGATTGCGCGAACAGAATCATTTAGCGCGGAAATGTATTGTCAACACTGTTCTGTGATTTCTCAATAAAATAGCTTAGAAACTGAAAAGTTCAAGCATATATTTCTTAATAACTAAATTCCACAGCTTCAGTAGTAGAGAGACGCTGCCATGTAGAATTAATTCACACACGCAATCGCTCTCACTAATGCATTCATATGAATGTAATCTTTACTGTGCTACTTTATCTGTATCTGATTTAGAACGAGCAGAAATCTGTGAGAACCATATCGACCCAAAGACAAAAGAACTGATAAAAATGAGCTGTTATAGGAGCAATAGCCATGTGGGCAGCACTGCGTCATATGCCATAGCTGTGCACAAGGTGTTTGTCACAGCTCCAGACTTATTTGTTCATTAATGACGTCATCAGTGACTAGTCGACTACGACTCAACTTTCATCGCATAAAAGTCGACTTAAAAAAAAAATCAGAAGTCGCTCAACTGTAAAATATATATTTGTATGTATGTATATATGTGTGTGTGTGTGTGTGTGTTATTTTAACTAAAAACTACGAAATTTAAACACATGTGACCCTGGACCACAAAACCAGTCTTAAGTTGCTGGGGTATATTTGTAGCAATAGCCAAAAAACATTGTATGGGTCAAAATTATCGATTTTTCTTTTATGCCAAAAATCATTAGGATATTAGGTAAATATCATGTTCCATGAAGATATTTTGTAAATTCCCTACTGTAATTATATCAACTTAATTTTTTATTTGGAATATTCATTGCTAAGAACTTCATTTGGACAATTTTAAAGGTGATTTTGTTCTATATTTAGATTTTTTTTTTTTTTTTCAAATAGTTGAATCTCAGCCAAATATTGCCATATCCTAAAAAAAAAAAACATACATCAATGGAAAGCTAGATGTATTAATCTATTTTTTTTTTTTTATTGACCCTTATGACTGGTTTTGTGGTCCAGGGTCACATTTGTCAAAGTACTATTTGAGAAGTACTCTAAGTAATGAATCTTCTGTAAAAAAAAAAAAAAAACCAGTTGGGGTGTAAATGAGCAAATACAAATATGACCAGCTTGTTGCTTCCTGTTATAAAAGATTAATTTGGCATTGTACTGGCTCTTATGCCATTGCTATAGCAACCAATATAGATCTGCCAGAAAAAGACATCACTTCCCGAACATGCAGCTCTGATTTGATCACTTGTTGCTAATAACAGTGAGGACAGTCAGTATAAAGATCAGGACTGTGCAAACACGTACTTCTGATTCTCTCTGCAGGCTGTCTTAAAGAGAACTGGACTGGGAAAAAGGGAGACACGGCAGCTATCACAGAGGACAAGAAGAAAAAGAAGGGCAAAAAGAAGAAAGGTAAAGACAGCAAGGATGGGCAGAAAAAGGAGAAGGTGAAGAAGAAGAAGAAAAAGTCCAAGCTGACTGGCACTGAGACCAGCAAGAAGAAAACTGAAGAAGCTGGATACACCTCAGATGAGGAGATCCAGAAGAAAGTTCCTCTTAATCAGGATAAAACTGAACTCTGATTCTTTGCTATTTTTTTTTTCTTACACTTGTCTCCTTGATATCTAAATTTATGACTGATACTGAGATGTACATTGAGTTTTAGTCTATTAAAAGAAGGTAATATTGAGGTCCTCATTCTAGATCACTTGTTACATTAACTCCATCCAGGAACAAGCTAAAATCAAATGCCATTTCAAATCCAAAAATGGAAGCTAGACCAATCAAACTATACTGTAGCTTGGCTGTTTGCTTGTGTTTGTTCTCATGCTGGTTTCATGTCGGTAACATTGTAAACAAGCTAAAATCTTCCTTTCAGGAAAATGTCTGACTTTGAGGACTCTAGTGTTTTGAATCAATGAAGTTGGCAAGCTGTTGGAATGGATTCTTGACATCCTTGTGGTTCTCATTTCTATTACTCTGACTCATCTCACTGATTTCCTCCCCTAAAATTTAGTTTAGGTTATGAATTTAGTTAAGTTTTCTTATGCCTACTGTTACTTTTAATTGCCATTGATTTCATAGTTAAAAATCCTTCATAGATTGCAACTGAAGAAATACATACTTGGAGCTTCTTCAGTATTAATATAATTAGCTGGTACAAATCTTAAAAGATATATAAAAATATCATATTTGTTATCTTCTGTGTAGGAAAATATTTGTAGGTTTACTTTTATGTGATGCGACAAATGCATAAAAAATTGTGTTTTGTGATTCAACATAAACTTTAATTGTTTTTTTTTTCTTATTCTTTTTTTCAGCTTGAACAGTCTGAACTTGGCATCTCATAAAGTCTCTCAATTTCCCACATTTCTCATTTCAGTAATGAAGATAATGGGAGAAACCCTGAAAAAAATACTTGGGGACCTTTTCTTTCTTTCTGTTATCCAAATAAGGGTGTACCATTTTTGCTCAATCTGTTCATATTTGTTTTTGCATTTGCTGTGTTTATGTCTGTGATGTCACTTACAGGGAATGTTTGAGCTACATTTTTATTTAATATTTTCTTCAGCAGTATTGTTTACTTAAGCTGTTTATCTGATATCAGGCGTCGCTATTTCCAAGAGGTGTGTGTGTGTGTGTGTGTGTGTGTGTGTGTGTGTGTGTGTGTGTGTGTAGAGAGAGAGAGAGTGTGAGTGTGAGAGAGCTCCTGCAGGTGTTTGTATGCCTATTCTGATTACTGTTGTTTGGAGTGTGTATGAAAGTTATTGACCTGAGGTTGAACTGTATATGTAAATGTTGTAATGGGAGGAGCATGTGCAGGTTTTGTGTTTCTTGGCAGCAGCTCATTAGCTGAGGCTTTTAATAAGTGTTTGGTGAGGTGTAGATGATGAATAAAAAAGGAAAACGGACTCCAACTCTTGGGCTGATTTAAAAAACCTCGGAAGGAAACGTTTTTAAACGGTAGTTTTCCAGGCTTCACCACAAGGGGGTGGTGACGCCAAGAAGGAAGAACAAATCCTTGCTTGAGGAGAGATTGTAGTCAAGTTTTATGTGTCGCTGGGACGTTCTGTATGATTTTTAGGAAGTTTGTTGCAACAGAGTATTCTATATAATTAAAATGATATATTTTTATATAATTAAAATGTGAAAATTAATTAAAAAGCCGTTTAATGTAAGGTGTAAACATTGTATTTAAAACTAACTGTTGATAACTTGTTGTATTTGAGCAGTGCTATGCCCTCAACAGAAAGAAAAGAAAAACAACAGAAACGGAACTAACATTTCTTTCTCATTTTTATTAGAATTAATGTGGATAGACGACATGCAAGTCTACCCATGCTCTTCAGACAGATGTAAATAATGATGTGTTGAAGAAGCTTCAGCGTTGCTCCGTCTGTCACGAGGCCTGTTTATCAGTAAGTGACCCTGCTGCAGTGCAGAAAGCTTTGTCCGCATTTCCTCTTCTCAATGTCACATTCCTCTTCTGTTATGTTTGAGCAATCTGTATTATTTGTCCTTCAGTATTGGAGCAAATGGCTATTCACTTGCACAAACACATCTCAATGAATAATTCACAAAAACAAACATCTTGCACCCAGGCTAAAACCTTTTCATTTTTGCTATCAGTAAGACTGGGAGAGTCTTCCTATATGGCAGATGGAGAAAATCGAGAATTTGATTGTTCTCTAATCTCTGAGAATAAAAATGCAGTCTGAAATTGAAATATTGATCTTTTACATTGCAATCACCTGGTATATTACACGAGAGACAGTATGTGTGAGCAAGAATATGAATCTCTCTTCTCTGGGCCTTTGTTTTTTTTTTTGCTTGTTTTTTTTTTCTCCAGTTTTCAGTGTTTCACCATGTCTGTCTATATGAAACCATTTATATGTCCCTGCATGGTTTCCCCATGGATATGGTGCCCAAATAACCACATAATTAATCTCTCTCTGTCTTTACCACATTTGTAATCATACAACATCATCATTTTGACATAATCTGTTTAACTGATACTCAGCTGATTGTAGAAAATATAATTATTTATCTTGTTTATTGAGCTAAAAAACTTTTTTTAAATGCTACTTAACCTTTAATTGTAAAGAATTAAGGGCCCTTTTAACCTATATGTGCCAGAAGACAGTTTATTCATATATTTAATGCAGATGTTTACTTAAAATTATTATATTAAAAAACATTAATTAGTGATAAAGACATAATTTTTTTAATACAAATGTACAGTCAGTAATATTTGATATATACTGAACATACCGGTCAAGATTTAAAAATGACATATAAAGAAATTAATAGTTTTATTCAGCAATGATGCATTAATCAAAAGTGACAATGGAGAAAAAAAAGGTTACTAAATTTTTTTTTTATAATTTTTCACAAAAAAATTAAGTGGCACAACCATTTGTCAAAATTAAAATAAAATAATATAAGAAATATTCCTTGAGTACTATAATATTATAATGATTTCTGACAGATGTGACACTGAAGACTAGAGTAATGACGGCTGAAAATTCAGCTTTGCCATCACAGGAATAAATTACATTTGAAAATATATTAAAATAGAAAACAGTTACTTTAAATTGTAATAATATTTTACAATATAAAGTTTTTTTTCATGTGTTTGTAATCAAGTAAACGTAGCCTTGATGAGACTTCCTTCAAAAACATGAACCAACCCCAAACTTTTGAACAGTAGTGTAGGACTATAAATACATATATAAACTTGTTTTTCTTGTATCAGTCCTTTAAAGAAACCTTCTCATTCTTCTACACAGTGCAAGTCAAAAGAGTGAAACGTTGGTCATTTTAGATGAGGAAAAACATCCTCTGTTATCTTCAGATGTCAAGTAAAAAGTTGTTCATGAGTTCAATGACTTAATCTCGATTTAATAATTTCCGTTCAAAGCGTTTCCTCCCTTTCTATCCCATCGTGCCCTAATATGGGTAATCTAGTTAAACATTTTTTCATGTCTTATTTAAGCCTTTTCCTCAAAATGTGTGTCTTTATTTGATGGCTGTGGTGCATGAAATGGGTCTATAACTCACTGGAAACTACAAGCTTCTTCAAATCACATTAAAAAAATATGTGCTGCCTTTTTTATGAGAAACAAAATAAACTCATGTTTCTGTTGTGAATATTATGGGCAAATCAGTCAATCAGCGCGTATGACTATCTATATTCATATAGTCGCACCACCCTGAGAAAACAGCAGCCACCCTCAATGCATCCTGGGAATAATCTGACATATCAGGCCCATTTCTGTTTATCCCGCTCGAGGGAATTGAAAGAGCCCACAACTTGTCTCATCATTTTAAAGAACATATTGAAACAAGTTTCTGTATTGGTTTGCAGTTGTACACTGTAAACTTAAAAAAAAATGTTAAGTTGATTATTAGAGTATGTTTCACAAAAAAAATAGTATTTCAGGTTTTTCTTTTTTTTTTTGCGATGAGAATTTTGTGTTTAATTCACTGTTGCAAGCCGTTTTTTTGTAATAATTTGTGAAAATTACTAGCAATATCTGAGTGAAATATGTTTTTTTGTTTTTTTTTATGTTTCCCAGTCTGCTCAGTTAATGCTCACACAATATCCTGCATGCAGTTTCTTTAACGCAGAGACTCAAAACTTGTGTACAGCTAAAATAATATATTTTCCAGGATGTTGAACTGAACTGAATACACAAACAAACGCAACAGTCCTCTTCAAGTTTACAAGTACTGATATATTTCTCACAAAACAATCATAGCAAAACAGATGCCATTTCTGTATCCTAAACACATATGTTTATCTTCCGCTCCTATCTTTTGCTAGCTGTAGTTTTGGAACCACACATTTCCCACGTTCCCAAATGGTCATTTCCCATTTTTAGGGAGCAATTCCAAATCAGAGTAAATTGTTTTCAAATCTATTTATGGTCTCCACAGATTTATGGTCTCGGGTAATACTCCTAAAGCATGCAAAAGAAAAATATTACAAATCCGTGTTACAGTACAGTTGTTTGGATATCATACAGCTGGAGCTGTTGAAGTGCTGTTGTAGACTAGAAATAGCAGTATGGAACAATACTTAGCTTGTGTCTGGCCACGAGAAGACCACAAATGGAATGTTAATGAGGACTTTGATGCGTGTCAATAAATGCCGATATTTAGCAGCGGAGGCATTTAAGCACTAATGGGGTCTCATTTGCATGACCTGAATCAATAGGATTGTTTGACAGCTTTAGCTTCATCAGGAACGCTATTGACGACAAGGTGACACCGGTGACATGAGCATCGCTTTGTTTATTTGTGTTGTCGGTTCATTCTGGTGCACAAAATGGTGACAGACATCGATCTAGACCTTTCAAGACATCATTTAGCATTCGAATGCCTATAGGATGGATGGCTCATCCTGACAACACCAGCAGGGAATTCTGTTCTGTGGGAAGTCTGTTTTCCTCTTTAAGTAACTCACAGACTAAATAAAGACTCGTGTGGTGGGGAAAATGCCAAATGCATAAGAAAATATCCTCTGCGGCCTTAGTGTCTAGTTTTAACTTATTTGAATCAAATCGCTGTAAATGCTTGAGAACATGAAACCACATCTACAATATCCACAGGTTCTCCTTAGAATAACGAGGGAAAGATTCCAAAAACAAGTTTTTCCATCTGAAAGCCAATAAAATAACGCAAGGTCTTACAAAGAAAGCTCCCACATAAGGTTGCTCAAACTGAAGAACAGGTGAACATATTAAACAGTATTAAGAAGCCAAACTGACCTACAAAGAGATAAATGAACTGTAGAACCAGAAGATGGACATACACGAGAAAAGCAATTAAATGTAAGATTCCACACTCTTTAGAGTCTTTAAACAAGTATGAAACACAAGCCAGATGCATCTCTTTTCCTCCTTTTTTTAACATTTTCCTCAGCCTGTCCTGAGGGCATTAGACTGAAGGTCACTGTCCTGAAGGGATAATGCCAAAACAGCATCCAGTTGCTTCCAAACGCTGCTTCAAAACAAGTAACAGTACACCAACAGTGCTCTCCACAGAGCTTAAACAAGGAATTAAGCACAATGTATGTAGATAAAACAACAGTCGAGGATTCTGGAATGTTGTGTGGATGGAGCATTCGATTGGGTTAAGGAGAAGATCTTCTCCAATGCAGCTCACAGCATAAAACCTTGAAGTCCTCTCTTCAGCATTCGGAAAGTGTGTGATGTGGAGAGCATCCTTATCCACCTCTTCTTAGTACATTATTGGATTTTTTGTGTATGCTCTGCTTTCTGTGAGAAAGAAAAACAAGAGGAAGGTTTGAGGTTGAAATTACATTAGTCTGGGAATTTTTTTTTACCTATCTACTGTAAATTTAAAGACTGATAAATATAAAAATAAAAGACTGAAACCTTGACAATTGTTTCAATATTTATTCAACAATTATTCAAATATGTGTCATAGTGTTAAACTTCTCTGGGCCATCTAATTGGACTTTCATATTTAATAAAGGTTTTGAAGGTTTTACATTTTATAAAAGTTTGGGGTCAGTAAGATATTGATTGATTGATTGTTGTTCGTAAAATAAATTAATACATTTATTCAGTAAGGATGCATTAAATTGAACAAAAGTGACAGTAAAGACAAATGTATTTATTTCAAATAAATGCTGTTCTTTTGAACTTTCTATTCATCAAAGAATCCTGAAAAGAAATGGATGATGGTTTCCACAAATTACTGAAGACTGGAGTAATGGCTGCTGAAAATTCAGCTTTTCCATCACAGGAATTAATTACAATTTATAATATATTAAAATAATATTTGACAATATTACTGTTTTACTGTATTTTTAATCAAATAAGTACAGCCTTGGCAGGGTTGCCAGGTTTTCACAACAAAACCCACCCAATTGCTACTCAAAACTAGCCCAATCGCATTTCGAGGGGGGTCCCCCCTTAAAAATCGCATTCCGGGGGTTAAAATACATGTTTTTTGGTGGGCTTCCCCCGGGAAAATATGCATTTCAGGGGCTTAATATCACATTATTGGGGTTGCTTCAACCCGAGGACATGAAAAACAATCCGCGGCAACAGTGTTAAAGTAGCCCAATTCTGCGTGAAAACCACGGACGTGGCAACACTGAGCCTTGGTGAGCATAAGAGACTTGTTTCAAAAACATCCAAAAATTGAACCAACCCCAAACTTTTGAATGGAAAAAAAATTATTAAAAATAAAATTAACTAAAATTAATTAAGTTTAGAGTCATGAAAATGTATTTTGATTTAAGTTGAAAAAAGGTGGGCCTAGCATGTTTAAAAACTACATAAGTAAAATATAAGAAATAGATAATAATAAAAATAAATAAATATTTATATTTCTAAAATATTATAGAATTTCAAATGCCCCTTTTCTCTAAAATAGTCAATTTTTGCACATCATGGAAAAAAGACATTAGACTGTAAATGAACACCTCCAGTCCAGTGCTGTGCCAACGTGTAGCAGATTTTCTCGACATTAGGGAGTCATTTTAATAAAATTAACACAAGGTGTAATTCAAGTAATTTATCATGTAGCTTTAGCTGTCTCTCGGTGAGTGAGAGAGACAGAGTGAGAGAGTGAGAAACGGCCAGCTGCAGAAACAGATAAACGGGTGGAAGGGCGGCGCTGGAATATTCATGCGGTGAGGCTTTGCTTACACAGGAACCTTGCAATTAGTCCCCAGTCTTTTGATTCATCTATGTGTTTATTTGCTAATGGTTTCACTCTGAGACAGAGGGAGCCGATGATCTCATCTGTTTGGAGGACACGGGCGAGTGACACAGTGTTGCTGAGAAAGACTGATGGGAAGGGGAAGTGAGGTCAAGACAACAAATCAGAATAAGCCAGAGCTGAAACTGTGCACATACATACTGTATACGAGTGTGTTGATAGGCATGTTTTGTACAAGGACTTTTTTTTTTTAAACCGAGGTTAATACTTTCATTCAACAAGAATGCGTTACATTGATTAAAGACAAAAAAATATATATTTTACATAGTTACAAAAAATATATATTTCAAATAAATGCTGTGCTTTTGAACTTTCTATTCATCAAATAATCCTGAAAAAAATGTATCACAGTTTCCACAAAAATATTAAGCAGAACAACTGTTTTCAACATTGTTAATAAAAAAAAATGTTTCTTGAGCATATTAGAATGATTTCTGAAGAATCATGTGACACTGAAAACTGAAGTAATGATTCTGAAAATTCAGCTTTGCCATCACAGGAATAAACTACATTTTATTGTTTGTATTTCAGTCTTTTAACTATATATTTAATCAAATAAATACAGCCTTGGTGAGCAGAAGAGATTTCTTTCAAAAACATAAAAAAAAAATGGAATATTAGTGTATTAAAAATTAAAACTAAAATTAACTCATGGTTAATGAAATGATCATGAAAATGTATTTTAGTTTATTTCATCTTAGTTCATTTAGTTGAGTCATACTATTTCAGTTTTATTTTTATATGCGTTAATGAAACATACATATTGTTAAAATGTTTAATATGTTTAAAACACTACATAATTAAAATAACAAAATTAAATAATAAAATAAATGTAATCAATAAAACAATTCACAGTATTACTGTTTTTACTGTATTTTCGATCAAATAAATGCAGCTTGGGTGAGCATAACAGACGTCTTTCAAAACATTAAAAACAAGTTAAAGAACAAAAAACTAATTGTGTACTATATATAAATGGTGTTCTTTCACGATCCATATATTATGTATTTCATTTGTGTTTATACCAAGCGGCAACCTCCCGTTCTCTCTCGTGAAGCCAACAAGGAAGTGACTTAAACTGTAATTCGTCAACTGGCCGCTAGAGGCTGGCTGCAAAAGGCAGTCAATCCCATAGACTCCCCATGTTAAAATGCCCAACTTTACAGCAGAAAAAAACATGTTTACAGCCTGGTTCAAACAATTATTTGTGTCTATATAGCTAATTTTGCCCTTCATGACAACTGTGAGGGGGGTGAGTCCGTTTAAATTTTATTAAGCCTTAAAGGGGTCATATGATTTTTTAAAGATCATTATTTTGTGTATTTGGTGTAACAGAATATGTTGACATGCTGCTTCAACACTAACTGCGGTTACTGAAACCACGCCTTCTTTCTTTGCGTGCACATTTGGGCGGCATTATGCTAATATTTCCACATAGTGAGGTAGATATGTGGGGGCGTGTTAGAACGAGCCGTTTTAGGGGGGTGTGGCAGAGTCTTAACTTTGATAAAGAATATCTCTTTGGTTTTGAGACTTTAGTCTTTGCAACTTCAGGGATCTTATCTATGCACAATCAGCTTGTAACACTCCAAAGAGAAAGGAAAACTTGAAATCGCATGACCCCTTTAAAGTTCTGCATAATTAAGGGTGTGGCCACTTGAGTGACAGGTGGATTGCCGCTGCTGTCACCACCATCGAGCTAGGTGGGCATGGTTTCAACAACCAGCTCCCGCCTCTTTGCCCATCTTCGATTATCCGGGAGTGACGTGCGGTGACGCGCTGCCAAGATGGCGACGGCTGCCTTCGCCCACTTTTGAGCTTCAAAAACTATCTTCGGAACCTTAAGGGTGATGTCACGGACACTACGTCCATGTTTTTATACAGTCTATGGTTTATACACTATATATATATATATTAGTGCTGGCAAACGATTAATCGCACCCAAAATAAAAGTTTTTGTTTACATAATCTATGTGTGTGTACTGTGTATATTTATTATGTATATATAAATACACATGCATGTATATATTTAAGAAAAATATCTTATGTTTATATATTAAATATATTTATATATAATATAAAATATAATTATATAATTATATAAATGTATATATATGTAAATATTTTTTTTAAATATATACTGTATGTTTGTGTATTTATATATACATAATAAATAAACAGCGTACACATACATATATTCTGTAAACAAAAACCTTTATTTTGGATGCGATTAATCATTTGACAGCACTAATATATATATATAATATATATATAAGCATATATATTAGTACTTAATATATATTTCTATGAAAAGGGGCCAGTTCATCTAGGTTTCTATTAAATGTAATACCTTGTAACAAGCAGTTGTCCTCCGGGCTTCTGCATCGCTCCGTCTCCATGTCCAGACTGATTGGATCTATGTTAACAGACAGCGACAGCTGACAAAGCCTGCTGAAAGACTATTGGCCTGAATGAAACTCTCTGAGTGTGTGTGAGAGCGTCTCACCGTGAGTGAGAGCGTCTGATGAGGTGGCCTGCTGTAAGGCCTGCTCGATCTGCCCTCTCCGCTTGGACTCATATTCCAGCGCCTCCTGTAACCTCCTCTTTGCCTTCTTCTCCTTCTTCAGACGTCTCTGAATGGTAGCTGGAAGAGAAAATATCCATGTGTAAACATCAAATGGAAATAGACGATTTTCCAATATGTATTAGATCGCAACATTTTACCTCGACTGTGTAGCTCAGAGGTGAGCTGTCTCTCTAGACTCTCTCTCATCTCTCTCTCTCTGTACAGCTCCATCTTGAGCTCTCTCCTCTCCTGCTGAAGCTGTTTCTCCTGCAGACGGGCGTTCTCCAAAGCCACCTTTAGCAGGCCCTGCAACACATGTCCACATGCTATTGATGCTGAACTTGTTTGTATGAGTGTGCGTGTGTTGCATTTCTTCATGGCTATACCTGGACATTAGTGAGCAGCGTCTCGACGGAGGAGAGGCCGTCTCTGAAAAGAAGGGACGCAGGAAAGCCAGAGGACAATGCTTGAGCTGGGACCTTCTCAAAGATTGTTGGTTTCACTGCATTTTGTTCAACTGTGAAATTATAAACAAACAAAGGGATGAATTTAACTGATCAACTGACTGTTAAAAGAATAGTTTAGCTATAAATTTAAATTCTGTCATTTACAGAGCTATTAGTTAACCAAAACTAAAATCATAAAAAAAATAATTGGAATGAAGTAAACGTTATGTAAAATTGCAGCTAGTTGGCAAGGCAACATTTCTCATTTTCATTTAGTTTAACCTGATGTACTACAATTTAAACTTAAACTGATATAAAAATTAATAATAAAAAACTATATAGACATTTAAAAAATATATTAAAATTGTAAGAAAATATGAAAATAAAAATCAATTTAAAAATGTAACAAAAACTATACTAGTGTGTCAATGATACTAAAATAACACTAGTCTCAGATGTGATTTATAAGCTACAAAGGAGGGTTTGTTTTCAGCAAATAAGAACTTTTTTTCTTTTTGAAGAATATGCTTAATATATAGTTATAATTTAAGTTACATCAGTTAATAAATCTACAGAAAATCCCTGTTCTTTTAGCTTTTGGTTGTTCTTTTTGAGTGAGGGCATTGGGTTTTTTAATGTTTTTTAAAGTTAATTGTTTATGCTCACCAAGGCAGCATTAATTTGATTAAAAAGACAATAATAACAGTCATATTACGAATATTATGACTTATAATAACTGATTAACTGATTTAATATTATATTGCATTTTAATGTAATTTATTCCTGTGATGGCAGAGCTGAATTTTCAGCAGCCGTTACTCCAGTCTTCAGAAAGTTCAAAAGAACAGCATTTATTTATAATCAAATTTATTGTAACATTAAAAATGTCTTTACTGACACTTTTGGTCAATTTAATACATCCTTGTTGAATAAAAGTATTCATTTAATTTAATTTAAATAAACTCTCCCCACATGACAACACATCTTCATTGACCCAGTTTATCTGAGTCAGCTTGCCTTAAGGTTCATATCATCGTTAAGGATTTGTCATAAAATAAAACCTTTTTTCAGATTCAGATTTGTGGTAAGGCTAGTAAGCTATGGAAGCTTATTTCTGCCACAGGATAAAAAAAATCTGTCAATTTCCCCTCACAATTCTGCTTTTATATCTTGCAATTCTGAATTATTTTTGTGACTAATTATGAGATATGAACTCAGAATTGCTGAGAAGAAAAAGTTGCAATTACCGCGAGATGTAAACTCAAAATGCCAAGATGTAAACTCAGAATTACAAGAAAAAAAAAAAAAATTTGCTAGAAAAAAGTTTGAATTGTGAGATAAAAAGTAGCAATTACCTTTTCTTTCTTTTCTCTTTTTTTTCATTACGTGGCAGAAACAAGGAACATTTAACAACCTAAAACAGGTCTCTGAAAGCCACCTGACCTTTGATTACCTAAAGCAGTTTAGACCCCTTTGGACCAAGTGGACCAGCAAATTGCCTTAAATAATTCAAAATAAATAAACTCAAGCTAGAATTGTGTGAACAGTCCCTGATGACCTTGCAGCAAAAGAGCTGTGTGTTTTAGTATCTGGTCTGTACAGTACGTCCTACCTTGATGGCAGATGTCGGTCTGGAGACGGGGCTGTGCACCTGTGCACTGGCAACCATGTTGGCAATTGTATTAAGGTGGTTCATCTGGTTCATTGCCATGGCAACAGAGGCGGGAGGAAGTCCAACAGGAAGCAGGGGATGGGGCATCATCATGAAGGGCAGGTCCAGTCCTATGAGAAGAAGAAAGAATCATGGAATAACTACATACATTTAAGTCAGTCTATCACAAATATCTATTGTATGGCTTCAGATTAGACATGAAATGTAGTCATATGGACTACTTTGATGATGCTTTTGCATATTAAGCTTGAATGCTCCAGTCCCCATTAATTGTCCCAGTAACTGTAAATAGAAAGTCATACAGGTTTGAAACGACATAAGGGTGAGAAGCTACTGACAGAATTTTGATTTTATGATCTCTTTAAACACATCAGGGTGTGAAAGTGAATGGTTAATGCTCACTGTTGGCCAGCAGATGGGTGTGTTGGAGAGAGTTGAGCTGAGAGTTGTTCAAGCTGTGCTGTGTTTTCTCTGAAGCAGGTGATGAATGCTTCTCTCTCTCCCAGGACAAAGCGCTGCATCCTGTTTAATGATAAAAGAATATGAAATATGAAATATTCACAATATAGGTTTTAACATGCATTTAGGTTTTAACATAGCTAACATATAACATAGCTTTTATATTTGAACATATATTCATATTGTATTCATATATTTTTACATTTTGCAGTGTTTGCAGTGTCTACCTTTTTGAAGTTACATATAGGTTTAATGTTTATTGATTTCCATATTAATATATAGATTTATATACGTACTGTATGTAAAAAAAATGATCAATTCAGATTCACAGATTCAGTTTATTTAATTGATTCTAACTGATTGAAGTTAGTCTAAACTATAGTATGACTAAGCAAAGCAAGATACATGTTTAAATGTATTAAAATACACAATTATAACAATATGTAGAATTTAGTTAAATATATACATATATACATAAACTGTATTTAGAAATATTTTTGTTTTTATTTTTTTAAGTGGCTTTAAACTTCATACTGACACCTACTGGTCTGGATGTTGCTGTAGAACTATCCTATTCACAAGCATTCTTTGAACCAAAAATTACTATGACTAAAGTTCATTAAAAGTACTATTCATTGCTTTAGGTTAGCTTTAAGTGCACATTTAACCACATACTGTACACATTCACACACGAATATGCTTAGACAAATTAACTTAGAATGGAATCCCCCAAATAAGTGAGCAGAATACTATAGAATGGGCATATCTCATGATCTTGAATGAAAAAAACGGAAACAATAAAATGTAAGTTGCCCAGCGACCAGCAGCAACAATGAACTGAACTGATAATCTATCATCAGTATTCATGTCAGTGCCATTGGGAGCAGATGGTGTTTAGGTGGCAGATTTGTGGCGAAGGAATCAATGATAGCGCAGAATGAAGTCAGTCCCCTTAAGAATATCACATGCTCCAACCAATAAGGTCTTCACACGACCGGACAAAAATAACCTGATTAAAAACAATAAGCTCCCTCATTACGACACAACCCAACACTGCAGATACATTACAACACCACGGCAGCTTCACAACCTGGGCCCTTCACCATGACATAAATACTGTACAATAGAGTGGCCATCTGTGCGACAATCTGCACGTCCGTGGAAATCAAGACTAGTGTCAACACGAGCTCACATATCTTGTGGGACTGGAGTTCTAACGTAAGTGAGAGGGCGCTAATTCACAGTAATCAGACAGATGAAGATGGATGAGAGGAGGGAAAGCAAGAGCAATCAGAGACAACAAGAGCTGCAGCTGTGCTGCGAAACACACTAAAACAAACACAAACATGCACACGTACACACACGTGCATACGGTATATTCTCCTGTGTCAAGTACTCAAATAGAAATGGCTTTCAGCTTTTGGTCGGATGTCTAGAACAGCTTGCTTTGGATTACTGATATTCTGAAAGGAGCTGGTGTAAAGAGAAATACACTGTAAAATGGTTTTCGAAAGTTGTAAATAAAACAAAGATTACTGGAGTATGTTTTACAATAAATTACTATTTCACTCTTTATACTTAGAAATTCAATGCGTTACTTTTCTGTAATTATTTGTGAAATTTACTAGCAATTTCCAAGTAAAAGAAAAATGCCAATTATATCTATATGTATATATATATATATATATGTGTGTATGTATGTGTATATATATATATATATATATATATATATATATATATATATATATATACATATATTGTGTATAAACCATATTGTATAAAAACATGGACGTAGTGTCCGTGACGTCACCCTTAGGGTTCCGAAGATAGTTTTTGAACAATTTTTCTTTCAGTGTACGATGGCAGATCTTTCTGCGAAATGTCAACATGAAATCAATATTTTCTTTTTTTTAATAACCATTCCTGGTCTTATTTTGTGTGATTCATAAGTGCATGTTATTCAAGACACCTATTATTTCGTGCTTGTAATTTTAGACAGATCATTTTCACCTGATGGATAATGAAATAGGCCAAACGTCCATTACATTTAAAAAAACAAAACAAAGGGCAATGCAATAGAAGAACCATTTTTGGTTCCACAAAGAACCATTCAGTCAAAAATGATTTAAAGAACCATCTCTTTCTTACCTTTTTATAATCTGAAGAACCTTATTTCACCACAAAGAACCTTTTGTGAAACAGAAAGGTTTTTCAGATGTTAAAGGTTCTTTATGGAACCATTTAGACAAAAAAATGTTCTTCTATGGCAGAAGAGTGTACAGGGACAGATTAGTAGAATTAATAAATGACTTGTTTTATGTGGTTTCTTGCACACTACTATTTTATGACAGTAAATACACTTTTACCATAAGCATGATTTGTAAACTAATATATTTAGATGTTTGTGTCACATAACTAGCTCCATGTGTATGGCTTTTTTGACATAGTAAACTTGCTCGGTAGCTCACCTGGTAAAGCACTGCATTTTTGATGTGGAGCAATCAAGTATTAGTCCAATGAGCCACGAGACTCGATAAAACGGCTCAAAGATTTGTAGAAGCCAGCTAAACTGGCATGGTTGCTTCAGCAAATGCGTTTTTATCTCGCGTTTATTTAGTTAACACTATAGGTTAGGTATGTGCTGTTATGAGAAAAAATGAGTCATGATGACAAGGTCAAAACTGTCTAATGAAAACGGTTATTGCTCACTTTTGAGTATTTTTGGCCAGTAATTAATTACAGTAATTTGTATCCTAGTAATTAATAAACACCAGATGGTCAGCTTGTCTAGACTGTTTGATCAAGTGAGAAATGCTTTAAAAGTCAACTAGAAGAGATTTGTGTGTTTCTACATGTTTGCTCTCACCAAAACAAACACACACATTGGCTGCACACAAAAAAAAAACTACTGATTTAAACAGCATCTTAAAAATGAGAGCAACTTCAAACAGACAAGATGAGAGGGAAAGGGGGTGGACGGGTGAAGATACAAAAATGTTGACCACAGGGAAAGAGGGGCAAACAGATAATGTGTGCGTTACACTATACACAAGTTCCCTGCTAAATGCACGCGGACGTGAAAACAAGCACACATGTGCTAACATACACCCGTATGCACACACACAGCGCACACCTGTTTCTGTTAACGCAGGCAATCACCCGTATGACAGGTTTCGGCCATCTTGTTAAACTACTGATTTAAACAGCATCTTAAAAATGAGAGCAACTTCAAACAGACAAGATGAGAGGGAAAGGGGGTGGACGGGTGAAGATACAAAAATGTTGACCACAGGGAAAGAGGGGCAAACAGATAATGTGTGCATTACACTATACACGAGTTCCCTGCTAAATGCACGCGGACGTGAAAACAAGCACACATGTGCTAACATACACCCGTATGCACACACACAGCGCACACCTGTTTCTGTTAATGCAGGCAATCACCCGTATGACAGGTTTCGGCCATCTTGTTAAATAATGCATGGAATTTTTCTTTCAACTTGTCAACGCAGGGGGAAAAAAGTATCTCTCGCTGCTTCTCTCTGCTCTGCTGATGTCATCCTTGATGCTGATTTTCCTTGACTGCATTCCATCTTTCTGATGAAGGCCGTTTTTTCTTCTCTCCTAAATTATGCTTGTCCACAGCTGTTCTCTCTAGGAATGCTGCGCTCTCTTCCTCCTAAACTCTTGTGAGAATGGCTTTTGAAGTTCACATTATCTATGTTAGTTTTAGCCACAGTTAGTATATGGCTGCTGTGTTTGAAGACTCAAGATTTTATGTGATGCCTAAAAATTCTGTCTAGCAAATACTGCTGAGTGCAAACACTAACAGAAGTGAAATGTTCCTTTTTGTCGTTTGAACTTTCTATTTATCAGAGATATACACCACACAAAATATGAGCAGCAGCACACATTGACAATAACAAGAAATATTTTTCAGCAGATATTAGAATGATTTCTGAAGGATCATGTGACACTAAAGACTGGAGTACTGATGCTGAAAATTCAGCTTT